CTTATAATTTATTAGCGTTTGTGATAGTTTATTCCTGTTGGAGCAGGATAAAGATGGCTTCTAGTACTAATTAGTATGATGAGGTCTATTTTCTGAAAGTTTTTATTCCTTATGAAAACATGGCATCCACTCGATGAACACACCTTTATATAATTTAATTAAAATGGAGAGTGCAAGAGAAAATAGTTAGCTATAATATGCTTATGGAAAATATTATCACAAGTCTAACAATTTTCAAATAAGCCTTCAATTATTTTAGAATTCATTTTCTTGGACGTTGTTTCAGCAGCTCGAAGCCAAAAATGATGTAAATTCATAGCAAAGGTACAGTTTACACATACATCTGTCTGCAGTTGTAAGGAGGCCTGAAGCACTTCATTATAAGGCCTGAATTATGGTGTCAGTCCTTGATTTATGGCTCTAAAGTTAGTTAACTAATTAGTAAAAGTAAAATGTTCCAATTCATTTACATTCATCGTTCCTTAAGTAGCTATCAAGAGGTGATGGGAACTGGAGACTTCTGAAGGAATTTATTTAGCCAGATTTCCTGGGAACTATTTTTTTCTTCATTCCAAGAAGACGTTATTTCCTTTTTAACATAGTGTTCATATATGTGTAAGATCTTTGTACGTCTGAAGTTCCATTTAGATAGCAAGACTTCTTTGAAAAGGAGTAAAACCTTTAAGAAGCAAAACCAATGTCTGTTTGGGAACTGAATGTCAAGAGCTGTCATGTAGTGGGGTTCTCATCCCTGTTCTCGTTTTCCCAAAGCTCAAAAACCTGTTGTCCTTGTGAGATATTTGAGAGTTTAAAATAAACATCTAAAATATTGTTTATTTATAACCACTTGTCAGAAAGTAACGACATCATTATTTATTTTATTTTAAACAAAGTGGTGTTGTTCTGTTCCTTAGAATCTCTAAGGTTTTCTTTCCCATCAGTGTTTCTTGTTATAAAAGTGAATAGAGAGAGGCCCAGAAGTTAGTTCTGGTCATTTTGTGTGATGGTATAGTTAGGAAAGCAGTGGGGCAAAAAAAGCATTTGATGCTCCTGGTGGACAGCAAGTTCAACCTGAGTCAGCAGCACACCCTTACAGCCATGGGGATCAGCCACCTGCGAGGCTGCATTAGTAAGGCAAAGGAGAGGGATTTTTTGCCCCTGTATTTGGCACGTATGAAACTGCATCAGGCTTTCTGGATCCAGTTTGGGGCTTCCCAGTGCAAGGAAGACTTCAACACGCTTGAGCAGATCCAGCAGAGACTACATGATGATGAGGGGGCTACAGGACATGACAGATTGGGAGGGGCTGGCAGAGCTGGGAGTTTTTTTGACTGCACAATAAAAGGCTTTGAGGAGGGATCTTGTTGGTGTCTTCAACTGCCTAGAAGGATGGTGTAGAGAAAATGGAGCTACTTTGAGGTTCATGGTATTGGGATGAGAGGCAACTGGCACAAGCAAATTGAAGGAAAATTCTGTTTGGATATTGGGGAGAAAACAAAACAAAACACGACACGCATGAAGGTGATCAAACGCTGAAATGGGGCAGGGAGATTTGGAAAGTCTCCGAGGGTGGAGATCTCATCTTGACTGGATGAAGCCTTGAGCAACCTGGCCTGATGTCAAAGTTGACTCTGTTTTAAGGAGATATTTAAAGCAGATAACTTGAGAAGTCCATTCTAACCTAAATTATTCTATGGGTCTGAATTGTCATTAACAGAATATCCCAAAGAAATATTTAATTGACTTGTAAGCCTAGAAATTAATTATGAACAAAAAGCTTTGTGGGATATGGATGAAAAATTACTGAATGCAATTCAGTGGCTTTTATTCTTCATGAGCTAAGGTTTGATGGTCATAAAGTTCTCTTCTTATTTAGGAAAAAACCCACAAATATATTCCTTTTCTATGTTTTACAGTGAGGAAAGCTGTCTTGGATTAATTATACATCCTCAATGATACACACTTTATTATTTAAAATATAAATGCTATTTGCATGTAACCTGTACAGAATTTCCAAAATATATTAATGGACTATGACATAACTGCTTGTAAAAGAAAAAAACCTAGATTGGATACTAGAAAAAAAGTTCTTCCCCAAAAGTGTTGTCAAGCTCTGGAAGGGGCTGCCCAGGGAAGGGGTGGAGTCCCCATCCCTGGAGGTATTTAAAAGATGTGTAGATGTGGTGCTTAGGGACATGGTTTAGTGGTGGACTTGGTAGTGCTAAGTTAGCAGTTGGACTTGATGATCTTAAAGGTCTTTTTCAACCTAAACGATTCTATGATTCTAAAATAGTGAGTTGGGTTTCAGTGGTCAGAGATAGAGATGTTTGATCTGCAGATTGTTTATCCTCAAGGCTTGAAAAGGATGGAAATATTCCAGGACTATATTATTGGTAGCTCCTTGAATCTCATAGAAGACTGAATGCAGGGTCTTCAAAAACCTCTAAGATGAGAAATGTGATTCATGACTGGCTGAGATCTGGTGTAAGATCTGAGGTTTGAAATTTGCTGTGTAGGTAGAGAACCTCACGCCTATGTCTGGAGGGAAGTGAAGGAAAAGCAAGGCAGTTCTGGAAGGACTGGTTATGTTGCTCTAACTGAAACATGAAAATTGCAGGAGTGCTGTATTGGATGTTGGTTTGATTGCGTTTATGGATTGAGAAGGAGCTTTGCTGCAAGTAGATTCTATGTTGGCTATTAGAAATCCTCTAGTCTCTAATGAAGAGTCCTTCCTGCCTTTATTAACGACCATTTTATGGCCATTTAAAAACACACCCAGATTTGGAATAAGGAAACACTGCAAATAATCTGAAACATGCAGCTAATTTTTTTTAATAATTTTTTCTTACTAATGGCATAAATTGCTAAGATAGCTCATCTGATGCAATTCCAGTCTTGCTACTACTAAATTAAATATGCTGTTGTGAAGATGAATTTACATAGTTGATTTCTGAAAATCCCAAGTATTATGGTTAGATCGAAAAGCACAGCTACATAAATATGCATGGGCCTATCTCTTAGAGAAGTCGTTTCTAATTTAGGTGCTTGTAAAACTGTTCTGCTTACTGCTGTGAAACATAGACCCCAGAAGATACATGTGAGATGTTGTTTCGCATTCTGGGTAATGCTGCATTTATTTCTGCAAAATCAGCAGTTCCCAGAGCGGGAACAATACGCTATCTGGTTAAAATTCTTCTATTTGTCCTGTTTATTAAATAATGAATCTTCATAAATTTCCTGACATCCTTATGTTTATTACTATTTAACTGCTAAGCGTTCAGTTAAGTTATAGATTTCTCAGGGCTTGCTCTTCTTTCTCTGTACAGTAATGAGAGTTATGGGTTTTGGGTCTGGAGTTAATTGGGAGTTTTATTGAGAAATAAGCAGATCTTTTGTAAAAGCCTTGTCCCGCTGAATTAAAGAAAACATGTTCACTTGGAATGAGAATTTAGCCTAGAATAAGTTCATGTAAGCATGTTCTGGTTCGTAATAAACAGATACAGTTTTCGACGTTAAAGGCAGATGTTGGTTATGTATCATGTCCCTAAATCCTGATTTACATTTTAATACACTGTGTTGTATTTTTTCAAATTAACGGCATCGTTTGGCTTGTGCATGTTGATTGCTCTTGGATATTAAAGGAAATAGACTAATCATAAAGTTATCAAAATGTTGTGAAAATTAAAATGGTTCATTAGCAAAAATCCTGTGTGCTACAAAATAGGTGTGATTATTAGAAAACAGAATAATTTTAACTTTTCCATTCCTATTTAATATGTTTTATTTTCTTTTACAGTGCACGGCTTACAAAGCATTTTTAGACAATATGCAATTATGAAACTTCTTTGCATGATTGCAGCAAAAGGTTACTGAATTACACGGTGGTGTTAATGTGCCTGTAAGTGGGAGCAGGCAATTACTGCTTTTGTATTTGTTACCTTGAACTACAAAAGGAGAAAAGCGAGGCAGAATATCATGTAGTGGTGACTCAAAACTCATGATATGACATAAGGTTGTACACTGGTAGGGCTACAATGTATGTGGTTTAGCCCTGTTTGATATTTGGTAATAAGTTTGATATATAAAGTACACAAGTGTTGAGCAGTGATCATGATTTAAGAATTGAAATGGCTTTAATAGAAAACAGTCCTTGAAAATCTTTTTTTTTCCTATAATATTTTGCTAACCCGTAGGCTACTTGACAAATTAAAGATGTTTTTAGACTGTCCTCTCTTTTTACTTAAGTAATCCCGCACTTTTTCCTGATTTAAAAACAAACAAACAAACAAGCTTGCAAAAACCTTTAGGAAAAGGCTTTTAAAAGATGCTCTACAGAATGGGAATCTGAGATATTTCACATTTTTGTCTAGGTGTGATTATCTCATAATGGTTTTCTTGCAGTGTTGATGACAGATTCCTCAACCTTTTTTAATTTAATACTGAGGTAATCTCATAGCACTGCGGTAGTGTAGACTACTAATAAAAATAATCCAAATGAAGGAATTAGTTAACAGAGAACATTCCACTTTCTCTTCAGTCATAAATAACTTGCAACTTTCATATGAATTTCCTGAATATCCAAGAAATTTTCAGAAGACTCAGGAAAGAATAATATTACTTCAAGAAGAAATATATACATATAATATATAGAGGTAAAGAGACACATATATATATTGCCTGCATACTACAGTAGTTTGTGTTGATTTGTTTTGTACTGTGTGCTTCCCAAATACACATCTGAAGTAGTTGTGCTGCTTTTGACGGTGGTGTTTTATAACTATATGTTGTGAAATAGTTTTAGCTATTTTGTATTTTATTTATATATTGGGTTTTCAGGGCTACCGGATATTTCTGTAATATAGATTTTTCAGGAACTTGGTAGATATTTTATGGATATGAAAGACTAAGAACCCTGTAAAGCTGCTGAAATAAGAAACGTATAAGAAATCCTGAAGACCTGTGCACGCTCCTAATTTTCCCACCCGTGTTTTGTTTTTTAGAACAAAATAATTTTAGACCCAATGACTTTCAGCGAGGCCCGCTTCAGACCATCTCTTGAAGAAAGGCTGGAGAGTATCATCAGCGGAGCAGCGCTGATGGCAGACTCTTCGTGCACGCGAGACGACCGCCGGGAACGCATCGTAGCCGAGTGCAATGCGGTGCGGCAGGCCCTGCAGGATCTGCTCAGCGAGTATATGAATAACGTAAGTTATACGCTCCTACTACTGGCTTCTTTTTCGGTAGATGATGAAACCTTTCTGAGGCTAATGCTATGGCTTTAATAATTAACAAAACCAATATTGTGTCTTTATACCAGGAGTAAAGGTAATTCTATTTGAATTATTTAACTTTTTAACGGTAACGCTATTTGAATTATTTAACTTTTTAATGGTAATGCTATTTGAATTATTTAACTTTGAATATATTGCAAATGTTTGACAGAAGTTTGATACAATTAGAAGTTCACAGGAATTAATTTTGGCCTGAAAAGGAACTCTGTGCTCTCTGCACGTTAGCATTAAAGTTCCTTCTTGCGTAATAAATAGCCAACAAGCATTCCTTTTGAGGTAGAACATTTTGTAATGAAAACTAAGGGGGACAACATAAGTGGGAAATGGCCTTAGAATTATTTTCTTAATGAAAGTGAATGCAGTTAATTTTCAGTGTGATTTCCCCCGTGCGATGGTCGTTACTGTGTTTGTTTATCAGGATGCTACCTGCAGATACCCGCGTGAGGTTGTCTGTTTGTGGGTTAAACTATTGAAGGTCTTCACTTGCTGTTGGAACTGTTAAATATTCAGTTGCTGTGACAGTAGTGGGTTTAGTGCTACTACTGTTCACACAAAGAAAGGTATCGGCAGTATCTTAAATCCAGCTGTGTAGGGTGTCAAGAGGCGTAAAATTGTTCAGCACGGTGTTAACCTATAGTGCATAACCTTTGTTCTGTGTAACTCATCCCAGAAAATTCCCTCTGCCTAACATCGTGTATTAAAACTCATAAGGACTACCAGTGTGTCCTTTGGAGGGGGGGTGAAAGAGGCCTAAGCAAAATCAACAACCTTTGTCAAAATGGCAATGTTTGCAAGCAGATATCAGTCTGAGCATCCTATACTTTGCTGCTTCTTGGCTGTCGTTGCTAGTAGAGTATCAAGTGGCACGTTTTGATCCTGTTCTGCTAGAATTGTCAAAATAACGTTGAAGAGACTGTTCAAGGAGGAACCTTTAATATTGTTATTTTCATTGGTACTGTTGTAGTTAGGTGGTAGAGTGACACAATGCAGCATCGATAGCGCAGGCTTCAGTCCTTTACTCATTTTATTGTACAGCTCAAAATTAGCTACAATGTTTTTTTAAGGTATTAATCCATCTAATATGCTCACCTCAAGTAATAGCAGTTTCTGATGATGCAGAATTTAAAAGCATATATTGTTGGCTTTTTAGTTTTTATGAAGTGATAGTTGAAAGGTTCTGGTACAGTGAATGAAAGCAAAGTCTCTGCTTTGTATATGTGTTATGGGTTAGAAATTATAAAGAGAACATTAAATAACAGGTGATGAGACCATGGTGGAAGAGGGCTTGCTGGATTGCTTCCTACGGAATCTTGCTTTGTAGACCTGTTACTGCCGGGTGGAATCTTTAAAGGTTTTTCAAAAAACCTTTGAGAACTGATGGATTGTGGCTTCCTATTTTATTGTGGTGCCTCTTTTTAAGTACACATGTTTTTGAGAATGATGCAATTTGTTCTTGGACCAGAAACGTACTTATTTTATTTCTGACCACATTTACAGAGGAAGGAGAGTTTTAAATGCCTGTAGGCATTCATGACCACACTGAAAGTGGTTAGTATAGTTTCATCGTGTTTACTTAAACACATAATGGTGTGAGCATCTGCTTTTGTGGTTACTGCGGTATGTTTTTTTTGGATTTGCCTTCCTCCTTGTTTCTTTTTCTTTCTTTTTTTTTTTTTTTTGTCTCTTCTAATCAGTTTGAGCTGCACAATTCCTATAAATTTTTATTTTCTTGCTTTACATTGGAATGTAATAAATTTAAACTATTTTTTACAGCTATCGAGTAAACATTGTAAGAACGGAATGTATACTTAGGATACCTAAAGTGAAGTACTTCTGATTTAAACACATCTGGGATGGTAGATTTTGAGAACGATATTGCATTAAATGTTGTATTCCAAATTGATTTTCACAGATACAAGGGATGGGATTCAGTTCACAGATGAATATACCTAAATTTAGGTTCCTGTACATAGGTACAAACAGGTAAACCAGGGGCCTCAATTCTGTTGTTTAAAGACAGGTTCTTAGTGCCATTTTAAACTACCAGTTCAAATGGTCCCGTGCTCATTTGAACAGAGGCTCCTCAGTCTGCCTCTCGGAGGCGTTTTGATCTACCATGGGTCTTGCGTCGTACCTGCCAGCCCCACTTCCATGTCATGTATGCTCTAGGGAAGACCAAATGGCCGGACTCCTCCCTTTATGAAATCGTTGGAACCTCAGTTCCTTAAGCTCCTGTTACAATTGATGGAGATCAGATCAATACTGGAGATCAGATCAATGCTACCAAGGGAACGTGAAGAGCCGTTCAGATGACTGTTATAATCTAATATGGGATAAGCTAAATATCTCCCCATTAACTGGGATAGAAGCTTAGATACCTAGCTTATAGGCAACTGCTGTTTAGGCATCTCTCTAGAGACTGAATTTCACCCATTTGTCTACCCTGGCAGAATTTTCTTTAGTATTCAACTTTTTGTTTGAAAGCTGGGGATGGATTTCTTGGGGGCTCACAACGGTGAGCTAAGCATGGTCATTACGACAAAAGATTGCACTTGGAAAGTTTTTTAAAAGCATGGATGAGTTTCAAAAGAATAAAACTGAAAGGCATATGCCAAACTGTGTAACATGACACAGTTGTAAGTCTGATCAAGGGGGGCTAGACTGTCAGAGCACATTAGCTTTGAGATGATTTGGTCTGCCTACATAGCCTTAAGCCATTGCAATCGTGCTCTCACTGTAGAGCCTGTGAAATTTAATAAGACATTGATGCTTTGCTTTCTTTGGCTGTTTGATATCTGGAAAATGACAAGATAATTCTTGGCTGATGATTGTTGATCAAATGTGCATACTGCTTTTGATGCTTGCCATGGGATTCAGAGAATGTAGAAAAAATTAAATATTTCGTGGTCATATTTGAAGGGTACAGAAAATTAATTGCAGGGTATTGGCAATGTGCTGTACAGTCAATATTAGTTCAATCTGTCTCCAGCTTAAAATTGTTTATTTCAAGTTACCTACTTCTATGATTTGGGTTTAGAGTGGTGTTTCTTTTTGTATACAAGACCATTTCTATTTTTTTGGTTTTAAGTAGATTCCATATTCCTTTTACCTGTTGGATATTTATACTGCAAAGTCTCATTATAAATTGGCTGTGGTTTGTGTTCTGCCTTGTATTAAATTTTCATAGAAGCTGAGTAAAATATCGAGTGTAGAAGAATGTACTCAGAACAGAGACATCGTTCTTGAAGCTTCACTGATCTCTTGCTTTTGCACCAGTGGATGGTATTACAGGCATGAATCGGAAGCTGGAAGGTTTACAGGCAGCTATATGAAATACAAGGTTGGCTATGCCGTGCTGCATACTTTGTAGCATTTCAAATGACGAATACTGAAGGCAATGCAAGGGGAAAAGAGGGCTTTCCAAGGTTTTGTGTGCAAGAAAAGGAAATAGCTTCCAACTGAACCATGTAGGAACTTCTGCCTTTTAAGTAGTAGATGATGTATAAGAAAACCTCCTGCACCTGCAGAACAACCCCCTGTGCCCACTTCTTTCCTAGAAAGTTCCCTGTAGAGATGTATACGTCTTATCTTCTGTGTTCCTGTGGGGCTTTTTAAGTACATCAGTCGTATCTCTTGGTATATTCCTGAGATCTGTTTTGTCACCAGTTGCTTTACCAGACTTTAGTAGATCGATATGTTCTGCTACCTGGGAAGGGAAAATTTAACACACATAACAATGTTTTCCCCATTCATCTACCCATTTTTTATGAACCCATCACAAACTAACAAGTAGATAATGATGTTCCTACAATTAGTTATATGCCAGCTGTAAAACCTCTCTGTGTATTATCCAGAGTTTTACCAAAGTAAGTTAAAGCTGTTTTGAAATTCAGAAAACCACAGGTCGTCATATCATTTGGTGAGGAGGGCACAAGGTTGGTGAAACAAAGATTCAAGATGTGAGGCATAGAGATATGAATTTAAAAAAAAAAAACTGCAGATACCCACTTTGAAAATGTTGGCAACCAAAGAAAAATATGGAAAGAAATTCTGTAAAGAGGCGGATAGGGCAGATTTCAACACAGATGAGTAAGAACAAAGATGATTTTCCAGTTGTATTAATTTCTGTTATCAAGGTTTTAGGATAAGTGACAGAAACGTATTTAGAGGACTGTGAAAAGACATGGTTGGGGAGGTGTGTTTTGGTTCCTCCTTCCTTACCCTCAGTTGGTTTGTTCCATTTCCTATGTGTCAATAAGATTTTTTTTTTTTTTTTTCCCCAAGCTGTTTTCACAAATATTCAAATGTTCTGGTCCCAATTCAGAGGTTATTTAAGTAATTGTTGTTGTAGGAGGTTTTTGAATTAGTATTGCTGCAGGAAAATTAGTCCCTAGGATCTTTACCAGTTCTATGAATAATGATGTATTTGTATAGTATATTGCATTGACTGGAGTCTCACGGTGCATAAGCCCCCTGCAAGAACTTCTGTGGAGATGAGATATAAACTGTTTCATTATTATTTGTGTATCTGGTAATATGTAGTAGTTTCATTTGTCTTATCAGTAGCTCTGTCAAAATATTTTCCCAGCATGGTAGCTATTATTTCTATGCTGAACTCAGCTGAACTTTAAAGTCTTTTATTTCTGGGAAGCGGGGGCGGGAGGAATCGCAGTATGCTGGGCCATGTGACTTTTTTTCCATCTCACAGAAAAATGGATAGGACTTTTTTTTTTTTTCAGATTCTTATGTATGTGTGATAAATCCCATCATTTATTTCAAAATAAAATTACATTTCTACACTAATGTCCTACAGAGAAGAACTAAATACAGCTCCATGGAAGCTCTTAATACAATTGTTTTCCATTTGTCTAAATGAACAAATTATTTAATGGATGGTTAGTTCTGATCGTGGT